TGGAATAACGACTCAAGACAACGTGCTATGGGATTAAATTGGCCACAACTTTATTAAATTTCAAATGTGGGTAGACCTTGGCTCAGGCATTGGGCGTTCTCCCTCCCCAGTCCCCAGCCGGGGACCTAGGGAGCATCAGGGTTATCCAGTGTTGGGGGGGGGGATGGGCCGGCTCTGGAGAACATATGTTCAAGCAGAGATAGCCACCCCCGTTACGCCGCTGCCGCAGGGGAGAGCAATGACGACCTTTTGGCGTACGGTCAAAGCCTCCCTTCAGAAACCCCTTTAACGGGGAACCCTGGTATCGCTGCCGCAAAGAGGAAGATGGACTAAAGGATTCCGCCCAAGGCCTGATACCGCCAAAGTTGTGACGTTTTGCTACGGGAAAGGCGAAACCTGCCAATGCAGGGAAATTCCTTTCCGGCCCTCTGACAGCGACCTTAACGTAGCAGCGCCCACATACCTGTGAAGAAAAGTTAACCTGCAAAACCTATGAAGAAAGGTTAACCTGCAAAATAATGCATTAACTGAGGGTGGGTAGGGTGGGAGAAGCTCTGGAGCCAAGTGAGGATTCCCAGGTAAGATCCTCCCTCTATTGTGTGGGCAGGTAATCCCTCCCCTACCTGGCCTGGTCTCCTTGGCAACGCTTCCCCCAGGTGGGATTGGACAGCTGACTGGGGTAGGTGGAGACCTCCAGGTATCCCACCTGAGGGAAGACGAAGCCAAGCCTATGCTGATGGAGCCGCTCCAGATCCAGGGGCTGCGCGCATCCACGCAAAGGTCCCCCCCCCCCCGTTTTATGCGGGGAGCGGTCATTCTCCCTCCACTGTCAAAGGCAGTATGTCTTTGAATGCCAGTTGCTGGAAATCACAAGTGAGAAGAGTGCTGTCAAGTCCTGTTTGCAGGCTTCCTGCAGGCATATGATTGGCCACTGTGAGAACAGGATGCTGAACTAGCGGGGCCATTAGCCAGGGATCTTTTTATGTTCTTGTGTTGTTATGTTCTTACTTGAGCACTTCAAATATTTTAAATTTCTTTTTTCAGAGGACAAAACAACGTTTTCTCTTTCAAGGTTTGTGGCTTGGCTATGAACCAAATATTATCTGTTTTCTAGGAGCTGAGCAAACCTTTGTGGTGCTCGCAACATGATGACTGCTAAAAACAAAACAAATTCAAGGTCTGAGAGGAAGGAAATGGCAAAACACTCATATTTCTTCTTGCCTTTTGCAGTAGGTGTTTTCCTCCCACGCCCCATTGTGCTGGACTTTCCATTGCTACACCAATGCACACAGGAGATAAGCAATGTCGCCTTCTTCTGTGCCCTGAAAAACCAGCAACTGTAGGTTCCAACTGTCCACAAACCACAATTAACCGTTTTCTCCACCATTTGGAGTCAATGGAAAAGCCTGTTATCTGAGCGGCCAGGTTTGCACCCCAGCGTTCAACTTACAAGTTCACACTCTGGGGTTCAGCAAGCTGTGAGTTCAGGATAATAACAATAAAAAGCAAGAGTGCATATTTCTATGAAAACTAACTTTTTTAAACACACACACACACACCCCTTAGCAAAATATGTTGACAATTGTGTATTCTGTTCAAACCAAGTGGGATGTTCTGCTACAAAATGTTCCAGCATAGAGTGCTTCTATTCACTGAGTCAGCCACCCAAATGCATTGGCCTCCTCGCCTCAGTTTTCTGTCGGTCTCCAACAGTCAGTCAACATTCTGCATTCGTCCATTGAGGAACGGAACCAGGGAAAGCCAAGCAAAATTCTAACGGGGCAAAACATGGAGGGGGGGCAGAGTAGGCCTAATAAAAGATGTAGCCTGGGGGTTGGTGAGCAATTTTTGGTTTAAAGCTAGCCTCCTGTTTTGGGTCAGAAGATGGGCTGTGGAGGAACGAAGACAGAATTTGGACACGTCAGGTGAGGGGAGAGACTCCATCAGGCAAGGCCTCTTTCCACCTGCCTTACTCTACCCTCTGCTTCTCAATGTGTATTGTATTGTTTTATGTACTGTGGCTTGCCATTGTTTTATTGATTATAGTTTAGATGTTATTGTAACTGTTGAATGGATTTCTGTTTAACTTTTATATGTTGATATTATTATTTTATTCTATTCTAATGATTGTTGAATGTTACTTTTTTATGAAGGTTGCCTATTTTAAAGTTATGTTTTATTATCACATTTGTGTATTGCATTAGATTGTGATAAAATGTACATTTTGTTTCTTTAGCTTGTAAACCGCCTTGAGTATTGTAAGATAGAAAGGTAGTATACAAATTAAAAAATGATGAAATGATGAACCTGGATCTGTATTTGGCAGGTCACACACAAAGCCTGGGGGATGGAGTTAACAGCTTATACAGTATTGGTAGTATATTATACCTCTTTAAATATTTAGAAATAGGAGAGTGTGCTTTTCCATTTGTTGTTATACTGTGCCTACAGTTTTCTGTGTTTCCTGGCTAATATTTTTCTCCTGTATTTAAAATAAATAAACAGCAGAGTACTGTGCCCAGGGGTACCTCTATGTAAATGTAAAGCATACACGGTGCTATTTTAGGGGTTCTGCTTCCCTTTGGCTCTGCTTCAGTAACCCAGCCTTTTATAGGCACGTGATCATATTGCACAGCGAGTAGAGGCATTTGTGTTGTGCCGAACAGCCTATAATAGCCACACTTTTGCTCGCAGAAACTAGCACCATCTGCAACCCTTGCATGAAACTTTTGATCTTGACAAACCACATAGCGGCAAGTAGCCTCTGGACTCTGGAAGCCTTGCAGGCACTCACCCTATTTGGCTGTTGCTCTTGTGAAGGGGGGAACACAAGAACAAAAGGGCTGTGTCCCAGCTTGCCTCTCCCACCCCATCACGTGGCTTCTTCTGGCCTCCCACATGCTCAAGGAAACAGCAGGCAACAGGGAGCCTGCTGTACTCTTAGGGATACACTGCAAATATTTGCTCTGAACAGGTTTGATCCCCGTATGAGATAGCTGCATATTCCTGCATTGCAGGGGGTTGCATTAGAATGATCCTCAAGGTGCCACACTCTAAACAATTGAGCTATCCATGCAGTAAGCTAGAACTGAACAGAGCTAAGAATCATAAGAATACTGAGCAACTGCATAGAACCCAAAGTGTTCCTGCTTTCATGTCCAATTTTGTATCAGTGGCTGAAGTCCCATCTGCACTATGCATTTAAAGCTGTGTCATATCACTTGTATGAACGTGGAGAATGAAAAGAAGAATCAGCTTGATCTTTAGGAATTAAGTAGAAGAATCCAATAACCTTTTAGAATAAAAGAGAGCGTCGAATACAGCGGTGCGCGATGCAGGGGAAACAATGGAAGAGGCAGCCAGAATGGAAATGTCTTTGGGTAACTCGCATTGCCTTGCTGAAGGCAGTGGAGTTGCAGTTACCAAACTGCTAATCTGTTCTGCAGGCTCCCCACCCCCCACTTTTTAAATCAGATGTTGGCATTATCTGCCACTAATTGCTTTTTCATTTCCACTTGTAATTATTCCATTGGCTGTTTGTGGTGAGAAGCTGAAAATGAAGCAGATCACTGAGAAAGAATTAATTGTTAATGAATAATCAGCAGTAGGAAGCCAATTTCATTATCTTCAAAGAGGTAGCCAGAGATTAACTGGGGTTTCTTTAACTTGTGTGTTGTGTATGTGTGTGTGTGTGCACATGCCACAACTGTAAAGTAACCACCAAATAATCACACCCTCCAACTTCATCAATTATTTTCTATTATGTGTACTGATAACCATTCCCCCCTCTCTTTTGGCTTTGTTGTTTAATCTTAACAGTAGAATTCATGCTGTGGTGTGCTAATTGGAAGGTGTTACATTCAGTGGGGCTTTAGGCCTAATTATTAGAGCATCTCTGTCATTAGCATACGATCCTATGAAGGTTGCATGGTGGGAGTTATTAAAGTTGCCATGATACAATTTGGTCCCGGTGAATGGACTTGGGATAGCATCCAAGGTGTGGCTAAAACATAACAGACTACATGTTACTATCTTGAAGCTACACAGCCAATGCACACATATGAGTGTCTGCAGCCAGTTAGTAATCAGCTCGGAAATAAACCTTTTCATATCAATTTATTGAAAATAAATACGATTCTTGGGAATTTAAGCAGCGAAAGAGAAAGGAACAAAATATAACCAAGCTGACTTATGCTATGAAACGGGAAGCCTCAGAAAACCAACATCTGTCTCGTCGTTATTGCAAAGATTCTGCATCCGGAGGCGATTCTTGTGGCTCAGTTTTTACTTCTCCTCTGACACCGAAATTTCGTCCAGCCAGCTGGGGCACCAACGAGCAGCACCAAAGGTTCCTTCAAATGAATTCAAGGAACGGTGCAGTCTCTGTATGAAAACAGTAAGGCCAATGAAATTTACCAGCAGGAGTTGATGTGTTTTCATAGGCTGCAATGGATGTTTCCACACCCCCATATGAGGCAAAGACATACAGTTATACCTCTTGTTACGTTGGGTTCAGGTTACGTCTTTCAGGTTGCGTCCTGCAGTGACGCAGAAGTACTGGAAAGGGTTACTTCCAGGTTTCGCCGCTCGCGCATGCGCAGACACTCAAAATGATGTCATACGCATGTGCAGAAGCGGCGAATCGTGACCCACGCATGCGCAGATGCGTGTTGCATTCTGCTCATGTTGTGAACGGGGCTCCAGAATGGATCATTCGCAATCAGAGGTACCACTGTAATGAGTAAGACCAGCAACAAAAATATTGCTTTGTGGTAAGTTGCTATAGCCACTCCATTCTGCTCCTTCCGTTATGCATTTTCACACAACAGTCATTCAGTCAATAGTTTTTGTCCACTGAGCATGCTGTGGGCAGTTTTGAAGGTTTTCCCTCCTTATACCCGCCCCTACCCCCCAAATTTCCTCTGCAGTTCTGAAAAGTCTTGGGATTCCCCCACACCCCATCTTATGTGTGGGTATTGCCACTTTGGCTTCATATGATATGTATAGCTCAGTTGGCCAAGCACGGCTCTCTTAATCTCAAGGTCATGGGTTCAAGCCCCATGTCGGGCAAAAGATTCCTGCATTGTGGGGGGTTGGACTAGATGACCCTCATGGTCCCTTCCAGTTCTATATTTCTATGATTGTAACCTCAACAATGCAGGGATAGCATTTTCCTGTTGGGTAGGCTAGATCTTTTGAAACATTTTGTTCTTCACTGAAACCCTAGCAGAAGGTTGAAAGTTCATGAGCTTATTATGTGACATTCAGCAATGGGGGAACAGCCAGAACTGTGTGACAGGATACACCTGCAACATAGACAAGTTGGCTGAAGAAGATCTGTGCAGTTGGGACTGGGCCCATGGGGCTATAAAACATGCAGCTCACAGTATGCGGCAAGTCACCTTTCAGTGAGTTAACCCAATGGCATAATGTGGGGGTTGTGTGCACAGGGGCTGATGCCCCAGGCGCAAAATTGTTAGGGGGTGCAAAATTTCAACACCTGATTCAGCCTCAATACAGCTCTTAGCTTCCGTTGCTGAGCTCTGTTGCAAATGGCTTCTCCATGTGAACCAGGAAGAGACTTCTCCAGACAACACAATGACTCTTCTTTTCTTATCTCTGCAGCAGCAATATTCTAGGCGATGCAGATGGGGTTAGGCAGTAGAATGTGCATGTGTACTCCATCCGTTTCCCTTCCTCCCACCCTATCCCCACCTCTGCACGGCCCTGGGCACTGGCAACCCACGCTATGCCACTGAGTTAACCCCAAAAGGCTGACACCAGTGAGGATCACCATGAGGGCCATGGGCGCCACTTTCTTTTCAGAGTTTTGTTTTTAAGGGGGGGGGGAACTAGGCTCCCATGCAGCAACATGGAATTGTGAATTCTTCCTCAAGACTATCCTGCATGACCTTTGGAAGCCACTGGCAGGAATTGCTTGACTTGATTTAACATCTTTTTGTCACTGTTCTAACTATCAAGTGGAGCTCAAAGTAGCTCACAACAATAAAAGGATTAACAAATAGAAGCAGTCCTTCCTAGCAGAGATGAAATATTCAGGAAAAGTACAATATTCAGTGTATGTACACTTCCCTCCAGTCTCTGACCTGGCCAGAAAGATTCCACCAATGGGTTCTCACCCTGGGGGAGAAATTTTACTCTGTTCTCATTTAAAACCAAACCTACCTAATTTTCACCTTCCAAAATCATATGTGAACCAAAACAGTCATCTTTCAAAATGCTTGTGTCTCTAAATTTTGCAGTGCAACCCTCCAGTCAAGTAATGCATGGAAAAAAACATACCTATTCTAGGGTAAAACATGCATATAGTGAAAATAACATACAAAAATCCATTATATTAGGGGAAAATTGGTTTGCAATAATGTGCCCACTATGAGAAAATCACACTAAAATTTTGATTAATTGTCATTAGGACTTTAAAAAGAAATAAATCACAGACTGATGTGGAAATATGGAGAACTGCTGTCTTCAATGGGAAAAAAATTACCCTTATGAAGCATTTGTAGCTAAATAACTAATATGCTTATTTTTTAAATTTCCTCACAAAAAGTACCCCAAAATACTAGAGGGCACTGGAGTTCAGTGAATCGCACTGTGTATGGGTATGTATGCACATACCACCTCCCCAATCCTCAATCTTAATTTTTCATATAAATCTTACTTATTTAGAATTGCCACATTGGAATTTCTGATTTTCAGCGAGTGACACAGTCCTCCCTCAGAACAGCTTCGGGAGAGCTATTATAATACTGTCACGAAAACGAAAAACCCACTCAACATAATTCCATTTGGCAATAAGGATTTTACGTCGGATCCTCTTGATGCAAAAGGAATTCAATAATGGAAAATGTGTAGTCATAATTTTGCATTTATTTATAGGCTCTTTAATTCCAAAACAAATTTTCAGCATAGCATACATAATTCTGTCTGGTTTTAGGGGTTTTTCATTAAACTATAAGTGAATTGCCCTTCTGGCTGCAAATCTGTTTTGCTTTGCGTTCCTTTCCTCCCCACTTACTCTTATTCCATCTTAAATTCCACAAGGATTCCATAGATTTCATTTAAGCAGGGCCAAACGGCACCAAACACATCTGCCCTAGAGAAGTTTGTCTCTCTTAACATGCAACCCATTGCTAGTGCTCCTTTTTAGTCCCCCCCCCTTCAATTTGGACGAATTCCAAATTGCCATTTATTCCAATAGAAGCACTACTAATTACACAAAGCATCTTAATAAAGAATGGAAACAAGATTTAAAACACACACACATACACACACTCTGATGCTCTAATGCGAAGTGACTTTCAGTGTAAAAAAGGGGGCTTCTGTAACTTTAAATATGTCTTTAGAAAACTGGGCATTCCCCGTCTCCCACAACAAAGCAAGAATGGCTCAGGATAGAGAAGAAGTAAAACATAACAGATACAGATAAACAGTTTATGTTCACTTTGTACATTGCTGTGTTCCTACCTGCCAGGTTATGATTTTTCTTATATTAGCATGCTCACTTTCAACACAGACTAGAGCAGGGGTAGGCAAACTAAGGCCCGGGGGCTGGATCTGGCCCAATTGCCTACTAAATCTGGCCCGCAGACGGTCCAGGAATCAGCGTGTTTTTACATGAGTAGAATGTGTCCTTTTATTGAAAATGCATCTCTGGGGTATTTGTGGGGCATAGGAATTCATTCTCCCCCCCCCCAAAAAATATATATAGTCTGGCCCCCACAAGGTCTGAGGGACAGTGGACCGGCCCCCTGCTGAAAAAGTTTGCTGGTCCCTGGTCTAGAGCCCTGGGCAGCAGCTAGATGTGCAAGAGAAGGGTTTGCCAGAGCGGTGCCTGTGGGTGCCAGTGTGCCTGCCTGTAACCTACTAGCTGAATCCCGGCATCTCCAGGTCAGGTTGGGAAAGATCCCTTTCTGAAATCCTGGAGAGCCACTTCCTATCACTGTAGACAGTATTTAACTAGATGGGCCAATAGTCTGATTCAGCATAAGGCAGCTTCCTATGTTTCTATGATGCCTCCAATAGATCTTAGTAAATATCGAATTTAGTAAATATCTACTTGAAAACTTAGATAAAACTTCCAGGGGAGGTGGCTTTGTGGGCAGGCCCCGGGCCGCATAAGTGAAAACGCACATAAAAGCTCCAGATACACGTTGATCTACCCACACATAGTTGTCATCACTGAGAAACGTAGAAAATAACAGGATATATTTATCCGAAAGTCTTCAGACTTACAAGACACTTTAAATATTAGCTGGTGAAGGTGAATACATTGAAACAGGGCACTGTCCTGGTTTCTGATCCATAACTGACTTCTGCTCAATGATTGAAACTAGAGACCTCCATGTCAAATCTGACTATGGACTAACATGAACTTATCTCTACTCATAAACTCTAATTTCTAATACTGTAACGAATTATTGTGTTATACATATCTTTATGAGTTTGAGTTTGTAATCTCTGTTAGAGTTTGTAATCCTTGTCAGAATACATACTTTGGGATGGATTCGTTTTTGTTACTATTGACTATTGAATTGTGATTAGGGACCACTCCCACTATTGAAACTAACATTGGTCTGAGTTCTTGGTGTGCTTTTTTCTTCGTATAAGTGAACCAGCAAATGGCAGACTGGATTGCCTGCCTGCCGGCAATTTGGCCAATGGTGGCAGAACTTTGGGAGCGTTCCCTAGGGCGCGGGATCAACTGACCAATGGTGGCACTTGGCCCACGCCCAGGGCCAGGATATAATGCAGGTCTGCCAAGCCATCATTCAGCCTCTTTTTCCTTGCTGGTTCTCCCACCTCAATCTGTTAGTGGTTTTGTTGATGCTACAACCTTGCTATGGACTATTGTCGGCCATCAGATTCAGGGCTGGGCAGGAATTTTTCCCACTTGGCAAATTGACACCAGTCATTTTGTTTTCACCTACCTCCTAGCAATCGTCACAACTTTGTAAGGTGGATAGACATTGAGTAAGCATAGATCTTGGATGGAGGGGAGGTTGTAGCCTCTGCCTGCCCCTCCACGGGGAAGGGTATCTTGATGAAAAGATTCGGGAGGAGTGGCTCCTGTCTGAAGCCCAGATGAGGGCTAGGGTCATACCACTACTCCAACGGAGACCACCTGGGGGACTCCCCGATTTGACTTAGGTCATAGGGCATCTATTCCAGTCAGGTTTACCCTTAGAGGCACTGCTGGAGTGGAATACGCAACTGCTTACCTCATTGCCTATGGCCAAAACCTTCACTGGTAACCAATAAAGTTGCGGCTTTATTTGATCCCATAAAACCAACATATGGTGTTTTTTTCCTACTTATCTAACCACTAGTGGACCGAGTGGTCACAGGGCCTTGACAGACAAATCAGGAATATTTCTGGACAAATCATCTTTGCCTCATTATCAGTTCTTTTTGAAGAATAATTTAGTTGTGGATAAATGTTTAGGAACTGGAACATGAACTAATGAAGACTTGAAATTATGCTTCAGAAAAACATGCCTGAGCCAACTTTCCTGCAGCTTCAGTGTATCGAGGGCACAACTCTAGCAAATGGGTAGAAGTTAGCCAAATTTTAGCTAAACGTTAAAAGAAATACTATGGAAAGACAAGACAAGTGACTGGTTTTTTTCTTTGTTTGCTTTGGGTTTCAACCCCAATAAAGCATGCATTGACTTAGGTTGCAAATGTACCTGCTCAAACCTGAGGGTTAGGCTTCTTCTCTCTTAGAGTATATTTCTCCTGTCTCTCCTTTATAGCAAAATGTGAGTAAGTCTAGTGCAGCCGTCACCAGCCTAGTCCCCTTTGGGTGTTCTGTAATACAGCTCCCATTGGCCCCACTCGGCATGGCCATATCATGCTGGAGCTGCTGCCCAAAACATCTGGAGAGCATCTGGTTGGCAAAGGCTGGTCTCGGGTAGATCTACACTGATCTTATAGAACATTATAGAACTCGTGCAAATAGGGGAATCAAAGCATGTGGGGAGAGAGAGGGAGAGAGGGGGGGGCTTTCTTTCTTTCTTTCTTTCTTTCTTTCTTTCTTTCTTTCCACATTT